AGAAGCTTGGGGAGCACTTTTCAAGAGGATTTTCAGAGGAATTCATTGGGGTAAGGTCTTTGGTCCCTAAACTCGTTATTGGATTGATTTTTATCAATTTAAACATGAAAAAATAAGGAAAATCAGTGGTAATTGGGGGTGGGGGGGGGGTTAGGGCTTGTCTAATTAAAGGACTTTGAGTGATGATTTGAGGGACAAATTGAGGTGTGATTTTGGTACTTTTGATATGACTGAACTCGTGAGAGTGCGAGGTTTCCGGAAATATAAATTTTACCCGATTCTGAGACATGGGCTCGAGGGGCGTTTTGGTCATTTTACATAATTTTGCCTATTAGTTTAGAATTTAATTGTAGAATCAGTTACTTGAAGTGTTATTTACATTATGCAATTGAATTGAATAGATTTGGGCCATTTGGAGTCGAGTACTCGTGGCAAGAGCGTGGTTTCGGATTGATTATTGAGAAGGTTCGAGGTAAGTGGCTTGTCTAACCTTGTGTGGGGGACCTTCCCCTTAGGATTGATATATTTGGTAATTGAAATGCCTTGTACGTGAGGTGACGAGTGCGTACTTGTGCTAATTGTTGGAAATCCGATTTTCTTTAAGTAATTACTAGTATGTTTCCTTTTCTGTTTCTATTACTTGCACTATTAAGTCTGTTGTTAGCTTAGGAAAGCATGTCTAAGTGACTTAATTGTTTTATTTGCTCAACTTGTCTTACCTGAATTCTGTGCAGCATGCTAGGCTAGGATCACTTATTGCCTTAATATGAAACCTTGCCATTTCTGTATATTTTTCTGTTGCTGCTGTGTATTTATTTTGGGACTACAAGTGTGAGATTCCGGTATCTCCCCCTTGTCTATTTATTTTAGGACTATGGATGTACGATTCCGGTAGCTCTCCCTTATCTGTTTATTTTAGGACTACGGATGTGGGATTCCGGTAGATCCCCCTGCACAGTTATATGGAACTATGAGAATGCACCGGGTAGATTCCCCCAGTACTGGGTATTTACATTTGGGACTACGAAACGAGATTCCGGTAGATCCCCGCGCACTATGAGTTGTACTATGGGACGGGATCCCGGGAGATCTATTGGATATGTACATATGGGACTACAGGACGGTATCCTGGGAGATCTCCGATTGTTATTATTAGTGCTGAGCTGTATTTCCTTTCCGTGCTTACCTTGCTTCTGTATAGTTGTTGATGTCATATACATCCTATGTTATTTTACTGCCGTACTTATTTATACTGCTCTGTTCTATACTGTTGATCTGTATATTTTATTTAACCTCAGTAGGGCTCTGACCTTCCTCGTCACTACCCAACCGAGGTTAGGCTTCGCACTTACTGAGTACCGTTGTGGTGTACTCATGCCCCTTCTGCGCATATTTTTCATGTGTAGATCCAGGTACCGCTACTCAAGCCTATCATCCTTGAGGCAGACAACTGCTCTAGAGACTTCGAGGTACATATGCCGCATCTGCAGATCGAGAAGTCCCTTTCTATTCTAGCTGTTAAACATTGTCCTTCTGTATTTTCTTTCTTGTTAGATATTCTAGAGTTAGACTGTTAGATATTCCAAAGGCTTGTGGTTCCGTGAGTTTCCGGGTTTTGGGATAGTGTACTTGGTTCTGAGAAATGTTGTGTTGTGTATGCCGAGCGACACGTTTTAACACTGTCTTTTTTTATCACTCTTCTTTCTGCTTTAATTGTTTATATTCCGCATTTTGGTTATCTTCCGCAAATTTAGGCTTATCTAGTTGTAGAGGACTAGGTGCCGTCACGATGGTTCATGGAGAGTGAACCAGGGTCGTGACAGGATGCATATGGCATCTTGGAGGAAGCCTATATGGTGGTAATGGCTAGCAGTAGGGAGGCGGTTGTGGCTGATCAGCCAGACGAAGTGTTTAAGTTTTGGCGGTAGCCGGAGTTTCCAGATCCAAGTAAAAGAGGGTCTGGAGTAGGTGGGGAGTAAGTGGTGATAGAGTGATTTGGTGGTGAAGGTGCCCCTGGAATTTAGAGCCCAGGCAAAAGAATTGGGTGTAGTGGTGTGGGAAGGAATATATGTATTAAGGATTTGTTGTAAGAGCTCGGATGGTAGTTCGAAAGCGATGCAGGTGAGGTCTCATTGGCGATGGATAAGGTAAATGGATACAGTATGAAGAAGAGTGTGGCGGGGTAGAGGCCTAGTGATACATTGACGCAGGGGTTGGTTAGATCCGATCCAAGGATCCGACCAAAAGTTAATGAATGTGTCGTCGCCTATGAGCCACCGGATGCCTTTTTGGCAGAGGTGCCAGCCTATGAGGATGTTGTTCCAAATAAAAGAGCCAGGAGCTTGTGGATTGGTTATATGGTAAAATATTTATGAAGAAGGGTAGCAACCCATAAGGAAGAGGGATTGCGGAGCATTCGCCAGGCCTAGCTAGCTAATAAGGATTGGTTTTTCTGTGTGAGGCAATATATCCCGAGGCCACCTTGAGCTTTTGGCCTGGTGACAGTATTCCAGTTGACGAGGTGGGTTTTCTTTTTATTGGGAGTGGTGCCCCAGAGAAAATTACATTGACAACACTCTAATTGGGAGAGTATATTTAGAGGAATTTTTATGTATTGCATGACGAGATTGGGAAAGCTATTCAGAGTGGAGTTAAATAGAGTCGTGCGCGCTGCCATAGTAAGGAAGTTTGTTTCCAGCCCGCGAGCCGGTGTTTAATGTTATCAAGGATAAATTGGAAGTGACATTTTTTGGGCCGTTCGGTAAAAATTGGAAAACCCAAATATTTACCAAAGGATGTGCATTCAAGCATGTTGAAGGATGAGAGAATAAAATTCTTGTCCTGGGAGGAAACATTTTTGGAAAAGAAATTTTAATTTGGTGAAGTTGATTTTTTGACCAGAGACACGATTGAATTCGTTGAGTATGTCAATGATGGCATGACAATTGCGTGTTGATGTCGTAGAAGTGCGAATAATATCATCCGCAAAGAATAAGTGAGAAAAGGCGGGGCCATGTGTAGAAAGGCGAATGGGTTTCCACAGTTGATAATCAACAACCATATCGATTTTATGAGTAAGTAATTCCATACATAAAATGAAAAGGTAAGGTGAGAGAGGATCACCCTAACAGATACCGCGTGAGGGTGAGAAGAAGGGGGTACGAGTACCGTTGATGAGGATAGAGAGTGAAGAAGTGGTGACGCATGACATCATTAAGTTAATAATGGGAGAGGGAAAGTTGAAGTATTGGAGAGCTTGGCGAACGAAGGACCATTCAATGCGGTCGAAAGCTTTTTCTAGATCAAGTTTAAGAAGCATAAAGCTGATTTTACCCGATTTTTTCTTGAAATGGTATAAAATTTCGTGTACAATGATAGCATTATCTGCCGCTATTCTATTTTTTTGAAAGCTAGATTGGGTAGAGCTGATAAGTATTGCCATAAGAGGTTTAATGCGATGAACTAATATTTTTGTGATGGTTATATAGATGGTGGAACATAGTCCAATAGGATGATATTGGGTAATCATGGAGGCGTGTCAAACTTTTGGAATGAGGCAGACATAAGTTTGATTAATGGATTCAGGAATTTGAAATATGGAAAATATGTGGTGACAGAAGTCGATGACTTTTGGTCCCACTTCTGACCATTAGTGTTGGTAGAAAAAAAGGTGTAAACTATCGGGTCCTAGCGCTTTGAAGGGTTTAAATGAGTTGACTGCTAAAAGGATTTCACTATTGGTTAAAGGGGTGTAAAAAGGCTGCACTCTCAGCTGGAGTGATGGGGGAAGAGCATGGGGGAGTGAGACGTATGAATGAATGTGTGGAGTCAGTGGTGTAGAGTGTGTTGAAATAATTAAGAATGGTGTCATGAATTTGAAGGTCATCATAGCACCAGTTACCCGCATGGTCCTTTAAAGCATAGATACGATTCCTGCGATGCCTGTGTAGGGTGGAGAGGTGAATTTTTTTTGTATTAGCGTTACCGTCTTGTAACCATTGAACACGGGATTTTAGTTTCCAGAATTCTTCTTCCAGCCAAAGGACGTCATTATATTCTTGCAATAAGGTACTTTCTAGATTTTGTAAGAAGAAGCTAGTGGGAAAATTTGGGAGGATAGGATGCCTCCTAATCTGGCGAGTAAATGGCGTTTTCGATGAAAGATATTACCAAAGGAATCTTTATTCCAATTAGTAATATTATGTTTAAAGAGTGTGATGGCATCGACTAATATAGAAGGGGTGCCAGCTATTGCGGATGATGGTAATAAAATCCGGATGAGAGGTCCACATGATCTCCAGATGAAAAATGAGTGATGTGGTAACCCGCGAAGGTTGAAGGGTGAGTAAGAGTAGGGAGTGATCTGAGTGTGTTCTAGGCAAGTGACGCACCAAGGCTTCGGGGAAGAAGTTAAACCAATCATAGTTTGCAAAAAGTCGATCAAGTCGTTCTAATATATTGGAACCAAATTTTCTTTTATTAGTCCAAGTATATTTGCTGCCTTTAAAGCTAAGGTCGACTAAATTACAGTAATTAATACAATCAACGAATTTATTTGAGCGAGTACTTATTAATGACACGACCACCAAATTTGTAGTGGAGTAAAGAATTTCGTTGAAGTCCCCCCTATGAGTCAAGATCCCTTGTAGTGACTAAATAAATTCATGAGATTTTGCCATAATAATAAACGGTTAGCATAAAAAGAGGAGTTGCATAAATTGCAGAAAATAACCATTTAGGAGAGTTAGGATATACCTGAATCATGACGTGGATCTCTTGTTCGGTCATAGCGACATTTTTTCTTCTATTTCATACCTGAAGGCGGAAGTTAGGCTTTGGTATTGAAGCTTCCGAGCCGAGATTGAAAACATTATCCTCGAGGTCTGAAATTTAACTCTAAATAGGCTAAGTTTTAAATATATAATATTTCGATTATATTTTAAATAGTAGCTATTAGCCTATTTGGCTAAATTTCTTTTTTGGCCAAAAGTGATTTTGAGGTATTTGGCCAAGTGAAGTCCTTCGTACAAAAATATACTTTTGTACAAGGGGGCTATAGCTCCAGAAATCAGAAAAAGATGGAAAGCATTCCACTCCCCTCGTCGTCGTCGTCGTGTCTACTGATTTCCAGCTCCTACTCCATTTCGGGAAGACCATCATCCACGAATTTTTATCCTCACAGGCGCTTAAGGCAAGTCTTGTTCCTTCTTCCTTCGTTTTTCTCCGATTCTTGCCATATAATTTTACATTTGGAAGTTTAACTTTCTCATTTCTATTTCAGAAAAGGGCAAGCACTCTCCGTTTCCTGCGATTACTCCTGTTTCGAAGTAAAGCTCTCTTCTTTTGTTTCTTTTCCTGAATGATAAATTTTGTATTATTTGCTCCTATATCTTTTCATAGTCTTAGGATAATTAATTCCTGCAGAGTTCTTTAATATTGTTTTGCTTCCCCATATTTGGGATTTAGATGTATAGCAGGCTTCCTTTTCTTTTATGTGTTGGCGGCGAAAAATGTTACTCCCTCCTGTTCACAATAAGAGTCTAATTTGCTTTTAGTACGCCCATTAAGAAAATACTAAATTGTATACAAAAATACCTACTATGACTAAACTACCCCTAATTAAACATTTAATGTGAGGAGTAAGAAAACTTTTTAGGGATATGTATATAGGGGTTATTTTGTAAAAACAAATTGAATTCTTTCTTTATTACATAACTGAACACTTATTTTGAACCAAAATGAAAAAGCAAATTGGACACTTATTGTGAACCGGAGGGAGTATGTTACTTAGGTGGGTGGACCTTATTCTCTAGCGTATACACCATTTAAACCAACAAGTCATTCAACAACTTTTTATTGAATTCCCAATGATTTTTTTATTGATATTTCTTCTTAAGCATCTTATACTCCTAGTGGTGTAATTTTCACTTTTTATTTTAATTTTGTATAATATCGGCCTGAGATAATTTTAAACGGAGAAACATGGTCAGTGACGATTGATATAACCAATCCGAACTTGTTTGGGATTGAGGCGTAATAGTAGTAGTTGTTTGTAGACTCCTAGGGGTTTATAAGTATTAGAAACACGGTATTCCAAATAACTCTAGTGCCATCTTAATTAACAAGGGATAAAGCATGCCGAACTTGAATTCATTTTTCTTTTTTTAATTGATCTATTTTGGTTGTCCAGAGATTAGTTAACATATTGCGGATGTATTATGGAGGTGCTAATAATAGATGTTCGACCCTTCTCTTTTTTTATGGGTTTGTGGAGATAAGGGATGTGTCTTATCGGCCTCCAGGGACCAAGATCAACCTATTGAGTCAAGTCAATCTTTCCATCCCTGAGAAAAGGTACAGTCTGTGTTGCTATACTTCAAATGCACTACATTCCGTTACTGTTGCAAATGTGCTTTGTCATCTTGTAAGCTGATCCTGGTTTAGAGCTAACAAGATATTATTTCGTCTATTTCTTGATTGGATGGAAGCACACATGATATCAGAAATCCAGCATTTCATAAGATTTTCAAATGTTTTAGCTGTTCAGTAAGATATGTAAAAAACATATGAAGTGGTCTAAGGAACAGTGTCACTGGAGATCAACTAGGGTATGAAATACTGATATGCATTTTAAAGAGGCTCTGTGTGGATGAGAGGATTTGACATAGATCTTTTGTAGTTTTGGCTTGATATTTGGACGGAGTGGCAGTGGGAAAACTACTTTATTGCAGGTCTTCCTTTTGATTTTGTCTTTTCTATTCAAATTCATTTTAGCTTTCTTCTTGTCCAACCACCGAAAGGTACTTTGTTCAGGCTGCTTTTTATCTTTGACCTTCTCCATGCAGCTGCTTGCAGGGTTAAGCAAACCAACATCAGGTTCCATATATGTGCAGCGATATAGTGATGATGGTGAAAAGATTAAGTCTCCTGAACTCTTACAACCAGAAAGAGTTGGCATTGTTTTCCAGTTTCCTGAGAGGTACTCATTTTTTGGTTGGTGGTGTTTCATGCACTGTCAGGATGTTCTTTGTGATACAATGCGATTTTCATGACTACGTTCATATTAAAATAATGCATTTTCGTTTGCTATTTTTATTGAGAAGACAACAAAACCCCTCCAGTTAGCAATGCAATTATCTAAGCACTACTACGTTACTCTTCAATTCTGGTATTATGTACATAAGTATGTAGATTTGTCTATTTACATGCATATTGCTAAAGTGAGTATTGCATGGTTAGGTATGTACATAAAGTTTAAACAGTTCTTTTTGGTTCCAATAGCAGTTTATTCAACTTGATTGTGTCTGTTTCACCGTCTTACAGATACTTTGTTGCTGATACTGTTCTTGATGAAGTTACATTTGGGTGGCCAAGACAAAAGGGTGGCCTTCAATTAAGAGAGATTCTTGCTTTGAGACTTCAAAAGGCCATTACCTCGGTACATATTCCTTTAGTGCGATTTAAATTTTTGTTTAATTCTGTCTTCCAAAGGAGAAAAGTTTGCCTGCATTTCAGCAAATTATGACAGGTGTTTATGTGGTTGACAACTTCTAGGTTGGTTTAACAGGAATATCTTTGGATAAGGATCCCCATTCATTAAGTGGTGGCTACAAACGTCGGCTTGCCCTTGCTATTCAGTTAGTAAGGATTTCTCAACTATGAAAAACAAGAATGCTTGCCTGCTGTTTTAAGTGCATTTTTATGAACATGCATATACCTATTTGTAACAAAATATTGTTGATATCTGGGATGATCATCTGTCTGTTAATGTATTTTTGTCTTTACACAGGTTCAAACACCAGATTTATTAATATTGGATGAGCCTCTTGCTGGTCTTGGTACGAAGAAGCTTTCTGTGATCTATTTCATTTTATTTTTTGGACTACTTCACCCCCCCCCC